CCATGGGAAGGACCTCTTGAATGAATTCTTGGAGTCTCCTTGAGAAGACCTCTGTTCTCCTAGATCTTACCCTTCCTGAGTATCCTCTCTCATTCTCCCTTTTAAGACTTCGTAAATATTTCAATTTGGGGTCTCAATATCAGCTTGCTTCTGCAGGATTCGTTATTAATTTGCAAGACTAGCTCTAGGGGTTACACTGACTCTATGGAGCCATCTGTCTTCACTACTTCCTTTGAGCGTATTTCCTTTGCTGCAGTTCTCACTGTTTCAAGTGCTCGCTATCATATATTTTCACCTTTTATATCGGACCTCATACCACTTTTCTGTAAAGTTTAAGGCACAGAGGTATTTCTGATCTGTCTATAGCTTCTTTCCTAGCTCCTCTGCTGCACCCATGTGAAGGTGCTCCAGGCATCAAACTTTAGAGTCACCTGGTTGGGCTTTCCTATTTCCCTGGTCTGGACCAGCATTCAGATTTCAGGGACTATGACTCCTTTCAGGTTCTCTACCTGGGCCTTAATTGTACTGTGGTGGGTGGCTGATAGATGTGTATGTGTTTTCGCTTTTCCCTGTGTCACATATTGAGTACTGTATCCGATTATGAGTGCAAGCTCGCTTCTGGGTGCATTCAGGTTCATAAAAGCTATAACAAGTCTCCTTTTGTTCTATCTTAGCAGTATGGGTGCACAGATCAAATCCCTCCTCCCCTTTTCCCAAAGTCCAAAGTTTAATTAAGACAAGTCCAGCGAGGAGCTTCCCCAGGCTGTAGCTGTGTGTTGACCTGCCAGGCCCTAGTATGTGGTTGGAGCAGGGCATTTTGACCGTCTTAAAAGTTACCTTGGCTTCCCATTGGGCAGTGAAGCTCTCTTCAGTCGGCTGTGATGAATCCAGGCAAGGATTCCTTCCACCTTTGCTGCTGTGCATGTGGTTAGGATGATGGTGTAGGGTCCCTTCTACCTTAGTTTGAGGGAGACTAGGTCATGATCCTTGACCTAGGTTTGATCCCCTTGACCCCCCAGAGAGAAAGGACATACAAACACAAAAGACTAAACAGAATACGGTTAATTACCCAAGTGGAGCTCTTCCTTGCTACTCTACCTAGTGCTTCTAACTGCCTGTTCCATTCAATCTCTCCCAGTTCTTTTAGGAGTCCCTGCTAAATTGCAGAGGAATGATGGAGGTCTGTTTGAACAAGACCAGTGGCAAGGCCTGTATCCAATTAAGCTTTCCTTCCTGGCAGAGTTTATCAATTCCTGCTCTTATGGCCCTGTTCCTGCACTGTGCCCTGCCCAAGCTTTGAGGCCTATATGTCACATATAGTTTCCAGGTGATACTCAAAGCTTTATCTATCATTTGTGCTATTTCTGTTACAAAGGCTAGCTTTTACTACTTTAGGAGCCCGCTTCATCTTGGTGGGGAAGGCTTGCACATATTCCAAGTACATATAGACTGGGACTAGTAAGCACCAGTTTCCTCTATGTCTGGACAACTCAGTATAGTACACTTTCATATCTTTAAAAGGGGCTTCCCTAGTGGACTGAATTTCAGGTGGCAGGGATGGCCCCTGACTAACACTATATTGGTTACATTTCACACGATGCTGGCTGACTTTCTTGGCAAGGGTGGCCAATGGGGGAATGTAAAAGTATCTCCCCAGAAGTCTCTTAATTTTCTTTCTCCACTGTCCTAAGTGCCTGGCCTCATGCATACATCTATAACCAACCTCAGATTTTTACACAGCAAGCTTTGATATTCAGTGAGGCATGAGTTGGTCAACAATGATACCTCTTGGTGTTCATAAGAGTGACCACTGTATATGGTACCCAGATTCTTAAGATTTGTCCCAAAGTCAACTTATTAGCCTCTTGCACCAGCATGGCAGTGGCTTCAAGTGTTCTTAGTCATGGGGGCCATCCTTTCAAGAACCCATCAAGTTGCTTAGAGAGATAAACAACTGGTCTTGCCCAGGATGCTACATTCTGGGTGAGCAGTCTCTTGGCTGTTCTATTTCTTCCTCATACCTATAGTTCAAAAGGCTTGGCCAGGTCAGGGAGGCCTAGCACCAGGGCTGCCCACAGTTTTTCCTTTAGCCTCTTGAAGGCTTTTGGTTATTTGGATTTCTACTCAATTGGGCCAGTCTCTACCTCTCAGTAACTTCATACAATGGTTTGGCCAGTCTGTATGTTTCACACAGTCTTTCACAGAAATCCCTAGGGCTTTCATCTGGCTTCTGCATGACTTCAGTCACACTGAATACATCTGTGGCTTTCTGGCTTTTCTATACTGACATGGATGAAGTCAAGGTTGGGTTCAGCATATGAGAATGAAACCATTTAGCAGTCACCTACGAATATCTACAAGTTCTGGATTTTGAGGCTAAAGTTCACACAATGACTACATTAGTATTCCTATTGACAGACTTAGCACAGATCTTAAGATAATACCTAGCTTTAAGAGTCTCTACAGAACTGATCAAGTGAATATTAAGGTTTCAGTTTTTCCTAAGGTATCTATATAGACCCATCAGATAGCATTTAATACTGTACAAATTTTCCAGTGTGGCCAATAGTCGACCTTTGTTGAGCCTTAAGGCTTCAGAGCAAATATAACTACTGCATACAATTCTATATTCATTGGCTAGTCTCTTAGTCTCATTTAACAGATTAGTTTAGTAAAACAGGTATGTCTCATTTTATGAGCTGGCACTACAGATAGGCTGGAATCTAATACAGGTGGGCCACATCTTTTTTTCCTTTTGAACCATTTTTCTCTAATTTCTCACTTTATTTTCTAAAATAAAATTATAGAAGAACTAATTTAATTGTCAAAATAAACTGTACTTTCAGTATACTGGGTCTGATTATCTGCACAAAGTGCGGCAAGAATAATTATTAGTAATCTAGGCTTTTCTTCCTTTTAAAATTGGTTTTGCAGGAACCTTTTATAAGGAATCTCAGGTTGGACTTGAATGCCTTCCATGAGCCCAGGTTTCATCTGTGCCATTAGATACCTGTATGCATTGGGTAAATTCCTCTTCTCTTAAGTTCTCTAAGCACATTGTGATTGCTGAACATGTCAGAAAGTGACATTTTTTTACTCAGTGAAGATCAGGAAATGTTATTGGCATCTGGTTAGTCTTTCCAATGGGCTTTTTTAATTGGACTTATAAAGTCAACCTTAATTCCTTAATGCAGTCTGGACACCTCAGAAAATGCAATTTCAGCCAAAGCCTTGATAAAATAACCAGTGCCTTCATTATGTCCTGTAGAACAAAACAGATTATTTATTTATTTTTTGAGACAAAGTCTCACTATGTCACCCTTGGTAGAGTACCATGACATCACAGCTTGCAGCAACCTCAAATTCTTGGGCTTAACCCTTTCTCTTGCCTCAGTCTCTCAAGTAGCTGGGACTACAGGTGCCTCCCACAATACCCAGGTATTTTTGGGTGTTGTTGCAGTTGTCATTGTTGTTTAGAAGGCCTGGTCTGGGTTCAAACCTGCATGCCTTGGTGTATGTGGCTGGTGCCTTAACCACTGAGTTATGGGCACTGAGCCAAGAAAAAAGATTCTTATTGAACTTATGCAAATAGCTACATTGTCAGAAATTAAGAATACTTACAAACGGCTTTCAAATCCTGGAGAAATCAAGGAGAGAGAAAAAATAAATCTTTCAAATTCTGCCTGTAAGTACCTACATTACGGAAAGCTACAAATAGCTCAAGAGACAGAAAATAGTTTTCTTGATTTCTGGAAAACAGCACAGAATCATCAATGTTTCCAACAAAAAGCCATAACTAATCAGCTCGGTTTCATGTAACCGATTTCTGTTCTGTTTGAAGTTAGGTTAGCAATACTCATGGAATGTTAGCTTTCTAATTAAAGTCCTAGAAGTTTGCTTTTAGCCTGATGATATTTAATTTCCAAAGACATCAGAAATTTGAATTTGAGAGAATTCGCCAGCCTTTCCTAATATTTTCCTTGAAGGAGAAACTTTGGACTCAGCCACTTACATAAAAAGACTTTCTGAGATGAATTAAAATTATTACTGACAACATTCACTAAGACAGACCAATATTTTGTAATATTAGAACATATATATATAAACATAATCCACAAAAAATTAACTACCATTTCACATTTGACAACATTTCCTATACATTTTTAACATACCAAATAAGCCTAATATGTCTTTCTCAGATTTCAAGTGGTCTTAATATTTCAAAAAGACCAAATTTAGAGTTTTGGTTTTGGAAGTCTTGTCAAATATCAACGACTTAACACATTTGTTCAAACAGGATTTCAAGCCCAAAGATTCTAAAGGCAATACTGAATAGTCAACTGGATCACATGCAAATTCCTTCACAAGTTTCCTTTTATGAGTTTTATTTAACCCTCACAGACAACTTACAAACATTCTAAACCTCCTTTCCTTTTTGCCCTGCCTTTCATTTTCTTAAATAACCAGTCTGTTTTAGGACAAAATTTACCACACCAGATACTTTCTTACATGATGCCATTTTCCTTTCTGTTTTATTTCTCTTACTCTCAAAAAACTATTTTTCATAAAACAAGATTGCGGGTGTACTCTTGGGGTCTCCTTGAGAAGACCTCTGTTCTCCTAGACCTTACCCTTCCTGGGTATCCTCTCTCAGAATGAATTTTCAGAATTGTCCTAAATTAAATGACAACCCCTAAGGTTATTTTTCTGTTTTGTTTAAATCATGGGCTCAGGATGATAGCTGTAGAGGCTATGTGATCATTTCACAATCTTTCACTAGTTTCAGTACAGCCTATATATTCTTTATTTTATTTATTTATTTTTGTCTTTTGTCTTTGAAGAAACTCTATACACCTGAGAGTATGTTATAGATCTTTACTTAAGGGCTTCAAGTAACACTTAATATATTCAGCATAAATAAAATACTTTTGTTCTGTATATTATAGCAAAATGTCATCAGAAGAAATTAGATTCCAGAAAGAACTCCTAAAACAAGAAACTCATTGTTTTTCTTAAATTTTATTAATGTCTTCAGTTTGTGCATCCTTTAAAATGAGACATGTGCTTTAAAAAGCATTCTTATAACATAAATAGACCAAGGAACAGTTCAGTAATTGATCCCTAAAACATGCACTTCATTTTTATACAGGTGTGTATAAGAAAGGGAAATAAGCTTTAAGTTTTTTTCTTTGGGTTAAAAACATTTGGAAAATATTATTTAGGAAGTCCAAATGTTCTTCTGGAACAAATGTATTTCCTTGAAAACAAATGTTAATATAATTAAAAGACATTAGTGTTGATAAAGACGATTAAAAATATGTTTGTGCTATGCATCATCAATAAGAAAATAATTCTAGTATGCCTAAGGTATATGTCAAATAAATAAATCAGGTAGCATGAATTGAAAGATTTAGATGGAATAATAGGTACTTGGGTCAGATTATGGGTAACATATATTCAAGCTAAGCAGGTGGCAAGATTCTACAGACCAATTGTTCTTTCACTGGAAAAAAGTAAAAATTTCCTCTTAATGGCTCTTACTGACAAATAAATATAATTAAATCAAGGGCAGCAAATCTCTTCCTTTCAGATACACACCAAAAGTACACACTAGATAACAGATGCCAGAATAGCTGAAATAGTATGACTAGAATCCAGTTTTCTTACACTGCAGTTAAATGGATGTTAAATTATATTGTTTCTATAAATCATACTGTCTATTCTCGTTCAAGTTTCACAAAAGAATTCTTCAAAACCAGGCATATTAAAGAATTTATTAAACCACAAAGGGTGCTCAAACTATTGTTTAACAGAAGTCAAACCCAAATTCTGGAGTTGACTGCTGACTGTATTCAGTTTGTGCTTTTCCCAGAATGGAAAAATTTTTCCACATTACCTCCCTTTGTACAGCTAAAAACAGTAGCACATCTACTGTGGTACCCTTCTTTATCTTTGGTGAGTCAGAGGAATTTGCCTCCCCACCTCTTCGACCTCTTCTATTAACAACACAATTACCCTAAATATCCACAGAAGAAAAAGGAATACATAAAAAAGCCTCAAACTTCAACATATTTAAACCATCTTCTCAAATCAACTATAATGAGGAAACAGGATATCAAACTATCCACTGTATTGAGAATGATCAGCACACTCAACTTTAGTCCAAAAAGTGAGTACTAGGAGGACAGGGATAATTCTGTGTACTTTTAATGGGCTACTAAACTGTCCCCCATTTGAGTGAAATAACAATGTTTCATACTTTACCTGTCTGAGTTTCAAGCACCACCAACAATTTAATTACAATTCCAAAAATAAACAACTATTCTCAATTCCTATTGTTTCGAAACACCTAAAACTCTTTAATAACAAAAGACATTAAGATGAGATGTTAGCAATGCTACCTGTCTCTTGAATACTTTTGTGTGCATATACAAAGTTCCTACATAGTTTTAGTAGATAGCTCAAAAGACTGGTGGTTTCTACCTTGGTGACGAGATTTGCACAATTAAAAACAAAATGTTTTTCTAAGTAAATGACAGTAATTAACAACCAAAGAAACAAAGGCCCCCTTCAAAGCTACTATTACAATGAATGGTTCAATCTGACATTCACTGGAATAAAAGTTGATAGGACAAAGATAAACCTATAGGCATAGAAAAGATTTAAAAAAAAGAAAAAGTGAGAAGAGGGTTGAAGAGACTGGCAGACACTATCTGTCAGTACCAAAAGGTTTGAGTCACACAGATTGCTTTTAAATTCTTGTTCTCTCATATCATTGGTTAATTACTTTTTCTTGCTTATTTCTTCACACAGCTTGGCCATGTAAATCCGCCACAGAGAGGTGATACAATAATATAGATGAACACCTGGATAGAGGAGGAAGCCCATTTTAGTTTTTTAATCTATCATGTGATCACAAATAATATGTAAAGGAAACTAAAGCCCTATTAAGAAATAATTCTGGTTCCATTACAACACACTAATCAAATATATTCAAAGACAAAGGTGGAGTTAAAATTATCTTTTGTAATAAAACTCTCACTCACTTGAATTCTACTATGTTTTCTTCAGAGAGAAAGCTCTTCATTGGTAACTAGGCAGATTTGAGGCTATATGAGTAACTCTTACAGATGTATCGTTAATAAGCTGTAACACCACAAATATTGTAGAAACTCCATAGCTGACCACCTCTCTACACTGACCACCTTCTTAGGTTGACCTAATATTCATAGACTGGTCACCTGACAGAGGTTCTACTGTAACCATAATTCTCTTGATGTATGATTTGATTAATGGTATTTTTAGATTTTGAATATGGATTTAATTTTTCCTTATCATGATAGGAATATATGAAAAAAGCATGAGTGGAGACTATATATCTACTCATGAGCAAGAATGCTGCTATAAACTGTTTGGTGGATAGTGACACAATAACTGATTATCAAATCAAAGCAATTCATATGATCTAAGTAACATTGCAAAACTGATGGTTCTGTTACGAATGTGTTAGTTTTTTAGTTGTAGTACTGTAATTTTAAATTATGATACTATGAAGTCTCTACTTGTTTACATTATTACATTCCAAAAAATAGATTTATTTTGAGCATTGGGTTCACTGCATTAAGTTAGTCATCTTATTTGATTTAAATTACAACTTGTTGAAATCTTTAACTGATTAATTTCATTACTTACATGCTTGGAAAAATGCATTTATGAATTCCATACCCCCTACCCTTCTCTAAAAAGAGAGGATTTTGTCTTACTTCTTGACAATATTGCTGGGGTTGGGGGGGTTATGGCAAATTATGGTTATTAAATAGGTTAGGCTACCCATATCATATTCATACATATAATCCATAAATGTGAAGTTTACCAACTTGAAATAAACTTAATTATTTGCTACAGCTAAAATATAAATATTTTCAAGCTGAAGTACAGTACATTAGGTGACAATATTTTTTGGCAAAGATTGATACTGCACTTAGAGTAGTGCTCTGCATGTAATAAGTAGTGAGTAACTATAATCTGAATTTTACAATAATTCAGTTGTATAAGTCAATCTAAATTACAAAACCAAAGAATAAGAAAGAAGGTAATGTCAGAAACTTTGAATGTGCCTTAAGAGTGAGGATCTTGGGCAAAGAAACATTCAAGAGTGTGGTAGCTATTTTTAGTATAGAATTTATAGATCTATGACTACTATTCTCTTGAATAATAAATCCAGCTCTTTAAGGTAGAGTAAACTTAAGCAGAGGTTGAGAAGTGGATCAGAGTTGGAGGCATCTGCTTCTTTCGAGGATGGGGAAGAAACACAGCTTTACCTAGCCATTAAAAAGGGTAAAGCACCCCCCACCTTTAGTAATAGTTCTCAAATCTCTTTACACTTAAAAATTACTGAGGATTTCAAATAGCTCTTGTTTAGAGAGATTATAACTACTAACATTTACCATATTAAAAATTAAAAACAATTTTTTTGAAGGGAAAATTATTTCATTCTTTAGCCACAATTACTTACTAAAGTGATATATACAGAACTTAAGTCTTGGAATCCGATTGAATACTGCCACCCTCATTTCCTGGTCCACATTGATTTTTGTATGGATCTTGCATTTTGTAAAAACACATAATTTAAAAATTATAATAAACCCATTATATATAAAAATAAGATATTGAAAATAAGTATATTTCTGTAGGGTCAATTTTATGTCTCCTTACATATACTAATTCTCCAAAGGAAAGAGGGATTTAAGTACACATCATATTTCATATTAACTTCATAGGAAAGCTACAGCTTGGTCATGTGTTTCACCATTAAAAGACATCTGTAGCTCATTTCAGAATGTTTCATTGAGAAATAATTCCAATACCTAATTTTGCAAAGATTGAAAAAAATAAAATCTGTACTGAAGGGACAAAAACTTACAATTGATACGATGATGATGATGATAGTAAGCTTGAGATTCTTCATACACATGGCTCGGGCAAGATTCCTGCTGGTAGTTTTAAAGGTGACAGACTAAAAAAAGATCATAAATTGTTTAGTCTTTTGGATATATACCTAGTAGAGGAATTGCAGGATCAAATGGTAGGTCTACATTTAGATCCCTGAGTGTTCTCTTAATAAATTATGGTATATGTATACCATGGAGTACTATGTAGCATTAAAAAAGATGGAGACTTTACCTCTTTTATGTTTACATGGATGGACCTGGAAAATATTATTCTTAGTAAAGTATCTCAGGAATGGAAAAACCAATATCCAATGTATTCAATACTACTATAAAACCAATTTATAATCACTCACAATTTTACATGAGAGATGAATCACAACTATAGCCCAGGATGAAGGAGGGAAGGGGAGGAAGATGGGAAGGGAGAGGGGTGGTTCAATAGAGGGAGGGTTAATGGTAGTATCACACCTATGGAGCATATTGCAAGGGTACGAGTCAAATCTATCAAGTATTAAAAACAAATGTCTTAACACTGTGATTAAGTAATTGAGGTGAAAGCTATGTTAATTAGTAGGATGTAAGCACTCCAATTTGTACAAATAATCAACACAATGAATCCCACAAAGGCATAAATGTACTCATTATCTATGTATATATGACTTAATAAAATAATAAATAGTTTAATCCCTAGCACTGACTCAGGAGTCCTCAAACTTTTTAAACAGGGGGCCAGTTCACTGTCCCTCAGACCGCTGGAGGGCCAGACTGCGGGCCCCAAGAAGAGTTGGCTGCTAAGCAGGACAGGCAGCAGTGGCAAAAACATCCGGCAGGTTGGATAAATGTCCCTGGTGGGCCGCATGTGGCCTGCGGGCTGTAGTTTGAGAACCCCTGGCCGAATGCTTTATAGTAATACTCTTCAAAAATTTTACTTTCATTAATCATTTTTATAAAGTCCCAATGCTCTTTACACCTTCCTTCTCTTCATAAATAGAGACTGGCCATTCATACCACTAGCTCCCCAAAGCAGGATTCTACCAGGCCTATCATGAACAGTATAAGCCTACTGATAAGGTTCCTTCTTTTTTCTTCTGCAATGTGGCAACGCACATGATATATTGAACACCAGAAATGGTTCTTTCCATAAGTAGAAAAGTAATTTCCTCTCTATACTTTGAAAAACAAAGGCTCTTTCTAAGTCAGCTTGCTGCAAGCACATTTGCCTATTACGCGTATTATAATTCTGGAGCTTTGAGCCATAAAACCCTATTTGATTTCCATAGGAAGATATGTATTTGCTTGCGTGAGAGCCAAAACCCATAGAACCTCATTCCTTTAGTTACTCATTTTAGTTTGCATCATCATTCACTCAGGATTAATCTAACCATTCCCACCAGGACACAAACAGTTTAAAACGAAAAGGCAAACAGAACAAGCTAAGCAACCAAACTTCCTAATAACCTAGCAATTCCACTTGAGTTATATATACCCAACAGAGACATACAAAAATGTTTTTAACAGTACAACCTTTCATACCTCAAAGTGGAAACTACCCAAATGCCCATTATCTGTACAATAAAGAAATTATTGGAGGGGCTCCAAAATAGTTTAGAGACATCTCATAGCCACTCTCAGTAAAGTCAGGGAGAAGAGTCTCCAGCCGCCTCCATCTGGATTGCCCCACCCAGAAACAAGATTGCAATGGCACAGCAAGAAAGTGTGGGGACACAAGAATCAAAAAATACAGGATGGGTGGAGGCCTGCGCAGAAAGTGTGTGCAATGGTGAGAGCAGTGACCCCAGAACACATGGAATCCCTGGGCTATTCAGGCCCCTGAAGATTCTCCTCCACCCACCCCATGGCATCCTGTAGGGGTGGACTGGGGATCAGACTGAAATTTGGGAGGGCCTGTCCCTCCAGGCGTGGAGTGTGGCATGAAACAAGTAGGTACTGAGGTCCCCCAGGATTGTTGGGAACATCCAAACCTACCCCGGGGTAGAGGACGGAGAGACCACATTCTGCTTCTTTGGGACTGGATGGAGCAGGAGGCTGGAGCTTAGGAACTCACAGGAGCAGTGCCAGGAGCTTGCTCAGGGACGCCTGGCTACTGGGTACCTACTGGGCACACCCTAGGTAACCAACAACCCTGGGAGAGCTGCAGGGCAGGAGGAGAGGCTGAACCCTTGAGCCACCTGGCACCCCACAGGCCCAGTCTAGAGCAGCCTCCCAAGGTCCCAACCCAGACAAGCTCTGACTCTGTGTTCTGGGTTCAGACAGACTTCCCTGGGCTGACTCTCAGGCAGACATGGAGTAGGGCACAACCTGCCTCCCACCCAGAACCCTGTGGCCTGGTGGGAGCTGTGTGGATGGCAGAGGAGTCTCCCCCAAAGTCTGGTATAAGCTTCAGGCTTTTGGCTCCCCTGCTCTATGGCATTCAACTCTCGTCCAGCTCCCACACTCAGATTAGAATTTAAAAAATCAGGAAAAAATGAGACTGTGTGTCCACGGCAACTAGCTAGTAGCCTCCTGCCCCCACCATATCCAAAAGTGGATGTAGTTTTGTTTTTTTAAACCCAGGAATGCCACAAAGTGTCATTTGAAAACAATTTTTTTCCTCTTTCTTTTCCTAATCCTAGAATGCCACTTGGTGTTCATGCAACACATTTTCTAAATAGTTTTTTTTTTTTTCATTTTTTCCTATTATGGGTTCTCTTGCCCTTTATTCTCTTTTCTTCCCTTTTTTGGGGTTATTTTTCTACTTTTCTCATCTTTCTCTCATAAATCCCTTAAACAATAAAAAAGATTTCTTTTTCCTTTGGTGTGTTTTATTTTGTTCTATTTTTTTTGTTTGTTTGTTTCTTGGACAGACTTGTTCTGAGGCATCAAATTACCAGGCTACACAGTGGTGGCCTTGAACCCCTGGGTTTGGGCAACCTTCCTGCTTTGGCCTCCAGAGGGGCTATGACTGTAGGTACTCACCATGGTAAACACCTAATTTTTTCTAATTTTGTGGAGGCAGAGGGTCTCACTTTTGTTCAGGGTGGCCAGAAGTACCTAACCTCAGGTGATCCTCCTACCCTGGTTTCCCAGAGAGCTAGGATTGCAGGTATGGGTCACCACACCTAGCCTATTACCATTATTATTACTGTTTTTCTATTTCTCTCATCTGTATTTCAAAAAATTATTTATTTACATTTTTTACCTTCTTGCTCTCTTTTCTCCCTTTAATCCCTGTACCAAAAGGCCACTTCAGCATCAAAGCAGAGAGACAAGGAATATTAAGGATAAGGAGAAAGTGAGAGAAGTAAGGGAAATAAAAAGAATAAGTAAAAAGAATAAGAAAAAAACACACATGAGGAGGAACCAACAAAAAAATTCTGGCAACATGAAAAACCAGAACAGATCACCCCCTTCAAGGGATCATGATGCAGCTACCACAGATAATACCACATATAAAGAAATGATGGAAATGACAGAAAGGGGTTTTAGAGTATTGATGGTAAAAATAATTAAGGGAATTGATTGGAAAATGGAAAACTACCAAAAGGAAATCCAAAAATTGACACAAGAAATGAATCAAAGACATGATAGAATTAGAAAGAACATATCAGAACATAAGGAACTGAAGGAGTCATTCAGGAAATTGCAAATGCAGGATAAAATTTCACTAACAGATTAAACCCTGGGAAAGAAAGAATCTCAGAGCTTGAAGACAAAAGCTCTTGAGCTAACTCAGTTATTTAAAGAAACAGAAAAGAGGGCAAAAGCAGAACAATCTCTTATAGAATTATGGGACTTCACAAAGTGTATAAACATATGAATAGGTATCCCTGAAGGGGAAAAGAGATCCAAAAGCATGGAGGTCCAACTGGAATAGGTATCCCTGAAGGGGAAAAGAGATCCAAAAGCATGGAAGTTATAACTGAAAATTTCCCAAAGATTCTGACACACTCCTTTTACATGATATTGAACCCCAGTTCACCTCAACACAAACATAGCATCTCCTAGAAACACTGTAATCAATCTGGCTGAGATCAAAAAGAAAGAGAAAATTCTTCAAGCAGCCAGGAGTAGGTACCAACTGACCTACAAGGAACGATCTATCAGGGTGGCAGTGGACTTCTCAGATGAAATGTTACAAGCCAGAAGAGATTAAGCTTCAATTTACTCAGACAAAAACAACTTCAAGCCTAGGATCCTGTATCCTGCCAAACCAAGTTTCATACTTAATGGAGAAATCAAATCTTACTGAAAAACAATCACTGAGGAAATTCACCACTACAAGACCAGCTCTTCTACAAACATACTACACACAGACCATCACAGTGAACCACCAGCAAAGTAAAGACACCTGGAAACTAAAAGTCAAAGCCTAGCTTGCAGAATCGCCCAAGGTGAGAGGTACAAGTCTAGTTTCCGTCTTCTGTATGTGGTTAACCAGTTCTTCCAGCACCATTTATTAAATAGGGATTCTTTTCCCCAGCATGTGTTTTTCATTGGTTTAGTTAAGATCATATGGTGACAAGTGGCCAGTTTCATATGTAGGTTCTCTATTCTATTTTTGTCTCCCTCAATAGAGTGCCACGGCTTCACAGCTCACAGCAACCTCAAACTCTTGGGCTCAAGTGATTCTCTTGCCTCAGCCTCCCTAGTAGCTGGGACTACAGTCATCTGCCACAACACCTGACTATTTTTAGAGATGAGATATCACTCTTGCTCAGGCTCATCTTGCACCATGAGCTCAGGCAATCCACCTGCCTGGGTCTCCCACAGTGTTCTCTATTCTGTTCTAAAGATCTCTATTTCTATTTTTGTGCCAGTACCATACTGTTTTTTTCTGAATAATTTTAACAACCATATTAGAACTGAAACAGAAAGTTATATACATTTCAAAGATTTTATCTTACCAAACAATCCATTATTTCACTGCAGTTGTTATTTCAACAGCATTTTTGACTGACAGAATCCTTGGCATAATCAGATCTATCTCAGTTGATTTTTGGTAGTAGATCAGATTTTAGAGTTAGCCCGAATACCTTGGGAGTTGGTGACTATTCAAGGAATTTAG